GGTTTAATCTGTGGTTGTTTACTTTTCATCTAAAGCCCGTTGCACATTTCAAAGATTTAACGCGGTTTAAATTGAAGACGCTTTTAATCTAAAACCTTTGACATGTAAGAGACAGGACATGTAAACAATTCCCTCTGACAATGAAAACGAACAATATGTTGCCAACTGTGCTTGTATCATGTAGTTTTGATTCAGAATGCATTCATAATTCATAAAGATGTACAGTGGGGTATAACCGCGGAGTTCTACTTTTAGAAAAATTGCCATGTTACAATGAGACAAACGGCGGCACTTCCTACAAATAACTAATTATAGATCGAAGTTAACAAATGTAACGATAATAATAAAAAGAAACTAACCGTATGTCACTATTTTGTCGTAAACACATTTGTTGAGTGCAAAATACAACCTCTTTGGCTGACAAGCAGTACGAATACAGCCAAAGAGGTTTAATACAGGCCATCAAGACGTTTGCATTATTTTTTATAAAAAAAAAAAAACAAGAGAAGAGAAAGACGCATACAAGAAATCAAGATGTATTCGCGATATAGTTTTGTTATTTAATTGTAAATAAGTTTTAAATAAAGATTTTATAGTTGGAAGAAAAGTTTTCTTTTGTTTTTGGTTGCCGCGCTGTCGGTAACAAGTTAAACATGAGCTATTGTTAGTCATTCCAAAATGTACATACGATTGTATCTTTTATGAACACCACCAGTATCCCCGACTAACGACCTAAGTCACCTAAGTACCGCAAAAGGTACAACGAATGCCTAATCCATATCTCGATGAGCAACGTTTAAAACAATTGTTCAACGCAGATGTTCTAAGAACAACGTCTTAAACAAACTACATAGACAAACGGAACCTTCACAAGGCGACACCGTCCTGTTTACACATTTCGCGTCAGTTCACTTGGATTAGGTCTTTAAAGACGAACGTAAACATTTGAACAAAGAGATAGAACATCTATTTATTTAACACAAGTTTATTGTTTGTAGCTTGTAAGTCAATGTACTGACAGATGTCTTGTTTAATGTCATAATTTAAGCTAGTATTGTTATAGTTTTAAGTTGCTTGTTTAATGACCGGTTTCCCAGTTACGTTTATCCATCTCTTAGTGTTTTTGGTTCGATAAATTCATGAAATGCGTTGTCGAACTAAGTAACTTAAGGTGGCAAACGAGCAGGCCGCCACCTGGGCCCGCCAAAATGGCAAAGCGATCGCTGCCCATAGACATTCGCAATAGCGGATGCGTTGCCTACCCTTGATCGACGGAAGAGAAGACGCACATAAAGAGGATATTTCCCCTTCCTATGCGTCTCCTGCACCGTCATATCTATTTCATATTTCCTAAGGACTAAAGGACTAAAGTTCTACCTCCGGCACACTCATCAGACTGTACGCGGAATTGCTCCCACTTTACGCCTGTCTTCTGTGTCGTCCTGGTATTGGTGTGAGCAAGCTGACCCATACGTGCGAATATATTAAAGCGGGCACTACCACCGTTTAACTGGTTAACTGCATTAAAATAAAGGTTAATCTAACACTACTGAATCGCTAACTAATGATAAATTATGTCGAAACTTCAGAAACCCAGCATTAGTTGATTAAAATTTATTTAAATAGAACTAGGAAGTGTTTTGAAGTTCAAATGTTATTGTTGTTACTCTGTTTGTTTTGTTACTCTCTATCAATACCTACAAGCGTTTATCTATACCCACATTAAATAAAATTGGAGTTTCAGTTTATATTATTGAAAAAAACTTTAGCTGATAACGAGAATCAAATTACAAAATATGTTGATTGTCTATCTGTTTGCATGGGCTCTTTCAGGGATACACTTTGACGGGTACCGCGCAAGGGATCTACGTGGGAATAATACAAAAGATATTTTTTAATTCCACACAGAAGTCGCGGGCGACCGCTAGTTTGCAATATATGTAAACCGTTAATAAAATTCAGATAAATGTAAAACACGTGTAGGTAATTGCCAGAATTAAATCGAAGACCATAAACAAAACGATCAAGAGGTAATAAAACATCGTTACAATGTTTATGGTAAGCGGAACAGATACAAAAACTTCGTGGAATGGTCTTGTTCGTCACTGCGAAAGAAAAGCAGACATTTTGTGAATAAATAAACTTGGTACAAATTTAGTTAGAATTAAAATAAAAAACCGTATAATGCGTCTCTGCAACAAAGTCCGAGAAAAGATTCCTTTTCCTATTCATCCCTTCCCTTGTCAACCCTTTTTTAATAAAGAAACATGGGTAGGGTGGATACGATGAGGTTTTCGTAAAACTTTCTGACCCGCACCGCATCGTGGAATTGTCTTTCCTCGGAGGTATTTTCAAACCATGACTTGTCCTTCAAGAAGCAAGGGTATCAAAGGCTTTTACCCCCTTCCCTTATAAAATAAAGGTCTCAAACAAAGAAATCCTTCCACTTGACGTGTGTTTTTAATGTTGTATTGAATCAGACGAGACATACTCTATATATTTGTGTAAATCAATTTTGAACTGATTAAAAATTCAGGTCACATAGATTTAATAGTTGAGCTACAGATCAACAATCAACAGCTCAAGGCGCTTCGTGATATTTATACGAGCTTCCTGATGAATCGCAGTTTGCAACAAGGAAGGCAAATCATAACTCTAAAAAAAAAAATTGAGCTGAGCTGCAAATCACTGATCTGCTTTGAAATGTGTATTGATTTATAATTTAATTAGCTGTTCCCGTGCGGCTTCATCCGCATAAAATTTAAAAAAAAATTATTGTTTACATTTGTCAAGTTATCGGATGTCAGATGTCAAACCATGGCAATCTTGCTTTCTTGATGTTGGCAACAACTTATGGTCTCTTTCCCACATTAGGGTTTTTATATGAAATATTTACTCCCTAAGTTTAATGTCGTGAAAATATATAGCCTAAAGCGTGACGTAAATGTAGGGCTTTTTATTAAAAAAAGAATTATTCAAAAACATGCTGTAATAGCTGACATCTTAGGCAACAAAGAAATGTGTGTTTACGCTTCATTATAATAGTATAGACATATAATGACGATAGTGTACTGGTTAATTTTCTTATAGGTCTTTAGGACGTAAGTTAAGACTGTGATCTTAGTTTTACAACTATTATAGTTAGTGGTAAACCTGGATGTGACGTATTTAAGTATCAAAGTATGAAGTTACTTCCCCACAGTTAGGGATACATTTTACTAAGTTGTCTTTTACGACTCTCGAGGGATCGAGTTGGTCGGGTAATCCATTTCTTACACAATTCCCTTGTCCGCTGATATAACTTATGTTCATTAAATATTTATAACCAACGACAAGCGCGCAGTATTTCTCTATTAGTTTTTAAAATGGAAAACATGAATTATTTCCTGAGTAAAAAGGTTTCCCACGTAGTTTGTTTAAATAAGAATTAGCAATATCTGTGCCGGTTTAACAACATATTTACGGCTCCCTTTTTGCAACATTATTAAGGGTAGTGTTTAGTCTTACACTTCTAGCCTCCTAGTGAAGGTATAGAGACATAGAGTGCGGTGAGAAGTCGTTAAATGTAGAATTTTGATAGCATAATGTGGATTCCATTGAGGAAATATATCTATCCGTCTGTCTGTCTATCTGCCTCTCTCTGGATATAAATTTTTACTTTCATTTTATTCAGCTTCATTGTAGATAAAATTGACATTTTACTGGTCATATACGAAGTTGATTCAGATATTCGCACAATAGTCTCACAAAAACAACCCTATATCGGCCTGTTTGACATTTAAAGCCGAGAATACAAGCGACCCGTGACTAAAAGGGGTGGCCCTTTTGTGATCCTTTTAATTCCATCCCCCTGTCTGCGTCGGAACCTTATTAACATCAAATTGCGACGACAAATTAACAATACACGGCCCAGAAACATTTCCACGGATAATATCTCTTGAATTATACTGTCAACCCCTTTTTTACGTAGTATGTTTGATTACTTCATTCAAGTTGTAACTTAATTTTTATTAGTTTATTTTATAAATTGATTCATACGACGGATAACATGAGCGTCGGTGAGATCGAGGGTTTGAGTTCTTATAATCCACAGATCCTTGGTTCGGAACCCGCCCTACCAATGTGATTTCCAATTTTCATATGTACATAATACCCAATGTTCTGACGGTGAAGATAAGCGTGATGTCTGCACATATCGGCGAATTCAAAGACATAAGTTAAGTCTACCTGCATTGGACCAGCATTGACCATGGCCTAGTCATACCTTACTTAGGGTTTCGACTCCGATGTTATCGTATTGTCATATGTAAAATTGAGGTTATATATTGACGTAACGGCTGCACGAAGCATGATTGTTACTTTCCCGAGCCAAGCGAGCACCCTATAGGTCTATGCTTGTGACGTCATCAAGTTGAGCGACTTCACAATCCATACATATTGCTATCTCTGTTTTATTCATAGAGAATAAACAAGACGGTAATATTTTTGTACCAATCAGCAGTTAAAATAAGACAGCTATTGGAAAACATTGTTAAAGAAATCTTACTTCTTACTAATATTATAAATACGAAAGTTTAGATTGATATTTGTTAGAGTATGTAGCCTGAACTGTGGCAATGTCAACGGCGGATCCAGAAGGGTCTTGGGGGTCAACCCCCCCTGAGCTGGTTGGTCAGAACTTGACAAAAATTATTTACACAGTTTATCAGCTCTTGACTTGACCACGAGTATATGACCCCCCTCCCAAGGCGCCAAAGCTGGATCCGCCCTTGGGCAATGTAGACAAAGTCTGGAAGAACATATAGGATACTATTTTTTTTAATTCCACGCGCACGGAGTCCTTGACTAAAGCTAGTCAAATAAAAAAACACCAAACATTAAAAATTTTATTTATCACAATTTTCTAGTACAAAGATTTCACTCAAACATACTATGTACATAAGTTAGCCTTAGATGTAATTTTATTACAAACGTTTTTATAAATTATATCAATACTGAAATTTAAAGTAATAAGAAAACATTTCCTTACCAATTAATAGAATGAAATAAAACTTATTTTTCACAATACATTATTTGGATACTAAATAGTTATAAATATCTATGGATTTTTTAATTTAAATCAGTTTTTTCAAAGAATTAAATATATAAAAATAGTAATAACTTAAGCAGTTAAATAGTTAACAATATATATTAAATATCCAAGGACGCCAGGTGGGGAAAGAAAGTCCTAGAATCGATGCCACGGACAGGGAGGAACGTGGGACGTCCTCTCTCCAGATGGACCGACGACTTAGTGCGCACGGCGGGAAGTCGTTGGATGCGGAAGGCGGAGGACCGCATTCTGTGGAAGGCATTGGGGAAGGCCTATGCCCAGCAGCGGGCAAAAAAATCCTGATGATGATGATATTAATATTTATGTTTTTAGTGTAATTAATAAAACAATTTAAACAAACAACACACAATTCACTAAACTTTTTAAGTTACATAATATTATCTATAACCAACAAACATAAACAGCATAATTACAATGTTTTTAAAATATTTTACACCTATAACCAAACAAAATCAATCATTTGTTGTACACATATTGGCAAATTATTTACAAATTGACTACCTAATGAATGAATGTGGATGGCTGCAAAGGTAGAGGAAGACCGAAGAAAGTATGAATGGATTGTGTGAAAAAGGTTATGCTTAAGAAAGGAGTGAATAGCAACGTATGAAAGCAGCACATACACTGCCAAGCCTCCGTAAGTGATAAGGGCAAGTTGATGTTTACAAATTAACTACCTATTACCATTCCAAATAAACTTGCTTGTCTATATATTTACAGTCTATCTTTAAGTTTTAGTAATCTTTTATACATTCCGATTTTGGTCACTGGAAAACTGCATTTAGCTTCTTCTTCCTGAAACAAATGGTTAATTAACTAGCTAACTTCATGCACATGAAATTATAAAAACTTTATTTTATTGTTTACATTTGTCAAATTCTCAATTGCAAATGTCAAAATTACCATAATATCCTTGCTTCCTTAATGTTGGCAGCTTGTAGTTTATGGTCCCTTTCCCACATGAAGGTTTATTCCAATTTATTTACCCCCTAAGCTTAATAGCGTGAAATATAGCATAGAACATGTAGTGTAGGTGTTTTTATTAGAGAAATAATTATTAAAAAATATACTGTGATTACTGACATCATACGCCACAAAGTAGTGTGTGTTTCCACTTTATTATATTACTATAGAGTAAATGTTATTTTATTATCTAAGCTTAAATATATTTGACTAGGGTGGGGGCCCTGATCGTTCAACAAAATGGTCCGGGAGGATGGTGTTATAGTGTGGTCCTATGAAGCCATGACCCTGCAGAACATCAAGGAACATCCTGTATTGTGTCGTAAAGTGCCGAAGATTCTGGTAAGCTCCATGGAGATCCCAAAACCTGTATCTATTGCACTAGAGGCTGGCCACCAAGGTGGTTTTAGTGGGTACAAACCTCACATAACCCTGTCTTCCCCCAGAAGTAAGGGCATCTTTTTGAAGATTTCTCTCCGATACAAAAAAAACGATTAAACATACTTACATGAGGAAAGAAGTTGTATTCAACAAGAATGACTTCAAAAAATGTTGAAGCGATTATTAGAGGTCCATTTTTCCTTTCACAAACATCTAATTGTACTGCGAATTTGCCTTCAGGGAAAATTGCCAATGTCTCAAATATAGGTCTAGACATTCTGCCAGTTTTTTGACTAGATAGACGATATAATAGTAATTCTCCAGCCCTTGTAGCGATAAGTACTACATCAGCGTAGAAAAATAAAGCTGTTATCGGTGGGAATTCTAAATACAAATGATGATATAGATCTGTGTCTAGTTTAAATATATGTCGAGAGTAACAGACAAAATTACGATCATTTATTGCATATATATTTCTTAAATGTTTCACCCATTCTATCGGACAGTTTATTAATTTTTCCGTTACATTATCTTTGGTGATGTTTAATATTTTACCACATGTTGTGAACAAATGTAGAATCTTATCACAATATTGAATCTCTTTTATATTATATTTGCTATGTAATATTAAATTCGATGATATATTTGTCGATGTTAAATCACATTTATATACATCTCTATTCTTATAATAGTATAATTCATCTCCGGCGAGTACGAAATTATCTGCCTTAAAAAACTCTTCAGTCACATTGCTAGAGTCGACGCATTTTTGTATATACAATCCCGATTTTGTAAAAACAATTGTAACATCATCATTGTTAGCTATTTTACTGCATGTAACATCGGAGAATGCGACCGGTATGTATTTTAAAGTGCTAATATCGTAGAAAACTACACCCCTTGCGTCCTTCAAAGGTAAAACACCATAATCAATTTCTAGAATGTGTGATTTATCGTGAAGAGAAAACTTGTAAAATTCCCGCACCTTTTTCTCGTAACTTGTAATATTCAGCCATAATTTTAAATTTTTATACACATGGTACCATCGGCAATCGTTCCCAGCTTTCCGTTTAGCTATCTGAGATGAATATCTAAATTCATTACGACACATTTCGCGCCAAACCTGATCGCTTCCATCGATTGAATCTCTCCATCTTTTACAAACTCTTCTGCACTTCCCAACAGATATACCGTCGATATTTAATAAAATTTCAATAAATATTTCTAATGGTAAATCGTTTATTTCGATTTTGTGCTCCATTTAATATTCTGGTTAATTTACGTAACTTATGTAAGCATCTGTAATATAGGACAATTTTTAAATAACGAGTATATTATAAAAACTATGAGTATAAATTCAAATTATTTTACCTTATAGCATTTACAATTTCATAAAATAATGTAAACAAATAAAAGGTCTTGTGACTTGACCACAGACAAATTTATTTGACAATATTTTTTTGCAGATGTAACGGCTTGGTTACTGAACTTTTAAGCCAATTTGACATTCTAAATAACCACCATATACAATGCTATTAGCGATAAAACGTAGTTTTATCAGTAAATTATAATTTTTAATTGTTATACATTTTTGATAATTAGTTTTACTATCACTATGATTTGTTGTTGCAAGTCCATCAACCAAGTTCATTCCATATCAAACAAAGATCACAGCTTACCAACATGCCGCCATTGTTTGTCGCTGATCACCGACAAACTAAATCAACCTATACAATCTCATCTTATTAAACTCTGTTTAAAATAAAGTAGAAATTAAAAATATGTCAAATTGTATACTTTGAGGCAATTTTGTTTTAATTTTGTTAGCCTTTCTTTTGAGTGATGTTGTTGTTGATGTTAGGGATATTAAATAAAACAATCAAGCCAACAAATGCATTTTAATTCACAACTGTATTTAAATATAATAACAAACATTGAAATTCAATTATTTAATTAGCGGTAACAGACATCATTTCATTAAGTACAAAATAATATCAAAGGGGAATGATTTAAAATTAATAATTATCATTACAATATATTAATAAACATGTCATACATAAAAAACAAAAACAAAGTTATTTAAACAGCATGTTTTTTAATTAGTTTATGAAAAAATAACGGGGCCATATTAAGAGGTATATGTTTGGGCACGAGTTTTGGACGCCAGTAAAGAAACACTACTTTTAAAAGACTCCAGTGATTTAACAGTTTTCTTATATGTTCAAAGTTCTTGGAATAAATACATTTAATTTACTTAGAAATTTCTTGTCGTTTTGTCCATAAACATAGACAATCTGAAGCACAAAAATGAAGACTTTGTGATAAATTCCCTTACTAAAAAGATTTCTTTACAATATCTATATTTTTTTAAATTAGCTTAAATCTATAATTAAACCTTATAATATGATGTCCATAACAGTGTTGCCATAAATAAATATAAATTGTTCATTTACTGGGATAATCATTTTTTCTTTTAAATCTATCACAAGAATGTAAGATTAACTAAATAAAGCCCAACAATTGTACATACGTTTATTAATTATAAATATTAGGGTAAAGAAATAGGAACTAAATCCATTCTAATTTGTATAGAAATTTTTTTTTCGTTGTTTCGAAAATTTTTCTAAAATTGTACAATGTTTTAGTTAAAATATAATTCAAAATTAATAATAAATGCATGGAGGAATTATTTTTAATGTAGATAAATATTTAGACTACCTTTCTATACAATTATAATAAAGCGTAAACACACTTCTTTGTTGCCTAAGATGTCAGCAATTACAGCATATTTTTCAATAAATCTTTTTTTTAATAAAAAGCCCTACACTTACGTCTGGCTTTAGGCTGTATATTTCACGCCATTAAACTTAGGGGGTAAACATTTTAATAAAAACCCTAATGTGGAAAAGAGACAACAAGGAGCAAGATTGCCATAGTAAGGTAATTGGTATTTTACCATTTGTAATTGATAATGTGACATGTAAACAATAAAATAATTTTTTATAATTTTATACGGATGAAGTCGCACGGGAACAGATAGTATTACATAGGAAAAAAATGATTCCATTTCATATAATATTTAATATTAAAAAAAAGCTACTTAATAGTTGTGAAATTGTAAGAGAGTATATAAAATTGAGAAATATAAATTATAGTTAAGCTTAGTACTTAAATAAGTCATATTAATGATTTTCAACAATTAAAAACTTCTTATAGAAAAAAACCGTAATAAACATATGTACAGTCAGCTACATAAATGCTACCAAGCTACAAAACTTGCATATTACAAATACATGTATGCCTTTTATACTTTTGAGTTTGAAATAATTTATCAATGAATATTTACGATTTGCAACAACCAAAGACATACAATTTTCTAGTCTTGTAAATGTATATGTTACCGGAAATGCGTGATAACTAGGAATTGTATACTTTGTCTAGGAAAAGTATAGAATTTCGAAGCTGCTTTTTCAATACGCAAGATGTTTCAAAGATTATTAAATACACACATATCCTGGTTACACACACAAATAAGCAAGGTATGAAAACAATGTTTTCTATGAATAAAATTGTTAAGTAACATTTGTGGGTTTTCAATAGTTCCAAGCGATTTTAGGAGTTATACATTGCCTAGGCATTGTGAACAATGACGGATTTCATACATTTCCGTCAACATATACACATTTATGCATCTGACTGTACACCTGCTACACCCCAATAACTAAAAAGACTAGAAGTTACAAAATATATCAAAACTGTAATGTAAAAACCTTAATCCTTATTAAATAAAGTTCAAATATGAATAAAAACGTTCAAAAAGGCAAATTATAAATAATGACCCTTATAACTATATCCATAAAGTTGTAAATGCCAACTACTAGTGCAAAAACACGAATCCAGACATGTACAGTCGAAAAAATTCACTACGCATTTAAGATCGAAAATCTAACTTCTGTCACAATAAGATTTAATGTGCGCACGCCTTTAACTAAACCATCGCACAACTGTTTCATCGCACAACTGTTTAGTCGCGCTTTGATTCTATCTATACTATAATATTATAAAGAGGTAGTACTTGTATTTTTGTATATATTGAAATAACTCAAAAACTATTGGACCGATTTTAAAAATTATTTCACCGTTAAAAAGGTAATTTATCTGTTAGTAACATAGGCTACAATTGTTAATTTCACGCGGGTGAAATCGCGAGCAACAGGTAGTGAGCTTGTATGGAGGTTACACCTCGATTTTTGCAGCTAAACAGTTGAAGATGCAAAACAATCGACAATCATGTCAGTTGTTTTTTTTTAACATAAATAAACCAGCGCTTGACATGACTCCACCTAACTTAAGTGAAGACGCAACCGAAGGATAGAGAGCGCGTACTCAATAAGTGCCGATTCACCCTGCTCTTGAAGTCGTGCGATAGTTTAGTCAACACGCTTATTGTGTACAAATGTTACTTTAGGTTTTCGACTTTTATAAAAAGTTTATCTGGCCCCGTCTCACATCATAATTCTGTTAGGAAACATTAAAAAACCTTCATGGAGATAAAATTATGACTTAAAAAATACGTAAGGCAACTACAGTACTAAAAGAAGCCGTCATTATTTCTTAGTACGTCCGCCGGGTCAGATAAGCTTGTGAACATAATTGTATTAATTTGACCAAAATGGGTAGGAAATTAACTTCCTAGACTGTGTATGTTGCCGATAGATTCTACACTTGGTCTATTAGAAATCTGACAATTTATTTTTACTTAAAATCAGATTGTCTTTTTAATTATCACTTATATAAATGCTATCTAGTTTTTTATCCTAACAAGATTGTGAATACGTTGCCTAACAATCAGAGGAGAGACAATATCTCCTCTTCCCATACTCTGCTAATATAGGTTAAAGAACAAAAATGTAACCTCCGAACATTGACAATATGTAACTTAAAGAGCTTGTCCCACTACTGGCTGATAGAGGCTCAGATAGCTTAAAAATGACGTCACTCAGATAAGGTAACAAAATACGATATTTCACATATTTTATACATTGAATTGTTATCAAACAATTTACATTTTGGTGGGAAAAGCCCTGAAAGTTGTATTATTAGTATAGAGTTATAAAAAGTTTAGACACGAACATTAATTTCCAAACACCCATATAATTGAAAAAACGTCTATACCTTCTACAGCCCTTGAAATGAGATCTTAAACACAGGAATAAATTTAAAAACAAAAATACCATTACCCATGTCAAATGGAAAAATCGACCTTAACACAAAGACATAAGTATCATTTTGACTTATCAACTATTTTTAAGTATATTTGACATGACTAGCATCGCGAAACTTCCCATTATATACAAAGTTGCAGGAATTGAAGCCAGCAGTTTGTATCTTTCCTCTGTAAAACAAAAACGAAAATTTTTTAAAGCTTTAAAAAATCTAGATTTGAAAAATCCTGTCAAATTCTTAAAATAATATACGCATAAAAATTAACTTACTGGTATCAATTTTAGAACGTCAAAAATCAGTTTTTTGTATAAACACTATTTTAATAAAGCAAAGACAATTCTCATTGTTTTTATATATGTATCTACTAGTATTTGCCCGCGACATCGTCTTTGAATTAAAATAAAAACTATAGTCGAATTCAATACAAATTACATTATAACAAACTTATCTAAAGAAATTTTAAACAGATAAATTTGTATAATTAATTTTAACAGTAATGCGTGGTTTGCTCTTGTCCAGTACAGTTGGTCAGTAGCGTTCAATCACTGGACTGTCAACCAACTGGCGCAGTTTCTTATATTAAAAGGTGGCAAACGAGCAAGCGGCCACCTGAATCCGCCAACACGGTGAAGCGACCACTGCCCAGACATCCGCAATTTCAGATGCGTTGCCTACCCTTAATAGACGAAACAGGAGACGCGCTTATACGGGATATTTCCTTTCCTGTGCGTCTCCTCCACCGTAAAATCCACTTTCCTTTCCATCTTTTTTTGTTAAAGGGTGGAAAGGAAAAGAAACTAAAAATAGGTCACAGTTGAGTCATCTGGAGCCAGTGATCCTTACAATCTTTTACTGGCTATCGCAACTGTCTAACTATACTGGCTAAGTGTGGTCATACAACTTGTCAAAAGTCTATAGACAGTATATTTGTCAAACAGTAACTTACCTATACTATTATAATAAAGCGTAAACTCACACTTCTTTGTTGCCTAGTATGTCAGCAATTACAGTATATTTTTGAATAATCCTTATTTTAATAAAAAGCCCTACACTTACATCACGCTTTAGGCTATATATTTTCACGCCATTAAACTTAGGGGGTAAATAATTTGGATAAAAAGTCTAATGTGGGAAAGACCATAAGTTGCTGCCAACATCAAGGAAGCAAGATTGTCAAGGTTTGTCATGTCATGTCATTTTGACATTTGCTATTGTTAATTAGACACATGTAAACAATAAAATAATATTTTCATAATTTTATGCGGACGAAGTCGCACGGGAACAGCTAGTGTAAATATAATTTACTATTGAATCAAAATATAGTAAAAATTATTTTATTTAAATTTAAAAAATGTGGAATTGATAATTTCGTTTTCTATAAGTAAAAGGTAATTTTAAACAATGTTTGGTGAAAAAAATCGTGCAAATGTAACTAATCTATTTTCAAATTAAAGACATTTTGTGCTCAAAAAAATACTTTTATTTAGTTATATTACGTCTTAACATAGAAACAAAACAAACTAAGTTTTCAAACAAATAACTTGGAGTTGGAATACTATCAAAGTTCACATAAATTATGTTTTTAATTTTTTTTTAATATTTAATGATATGACAATATTATTAATACTAATGTTACCAGATTTAAAAATGAATACATATTAAAAAAAACTAATAAGTACACGTTCAATACAAATTGTAAAATAAAAGATTCTTAATACAGATAAAGCAAAAATTGTCAATTTTTAATATTTTCCTATGAAGCAATAGTTTTTATAGGTCTAAGATGGAATGCCTTATATTCTTGTTAGACTACAGAATAATATTAAACGACATATTTCTATAGTTTATCTAAATAATTTAGATTAGTTTGACAATTCATTTTAAATTTAGTAGGGATGGGTTGTGTAATCTGTCATTAATCTTATCGATTTTCGATTTTTATTCTTATAGAAGTTGGAATCGATAGATTTATAGCTATAATTTATGTAATAAAAAACACTGTTTTCTGAAATTAATAATGACCATAACAAATAATGAGAGTAAATAAATGTTTATTACTACAGCCGTACGTAATCGAATTGGATTTCGCTATTATTTCTGTCATCGCTAAATTCTCTACTACACTATAATCAATACTAGAATTGTCCTCTAAATTAGTTAATAAGAAAATAATAATTTTAGTTAAGTTCGATAATTATTTAAACCAAATATCGATAGTTCACAATTGTTCGCTGCGAGTTTCGTCACTACGATACCTGTCTATTAAGTACGGCATTTGTCTTCATACAAATTTAATTCGATACTTCATATGCGTCATCAAACGAATCTATCTTATTTAGACACACTATAATTTAATTCATTCGATTTGTAAAAAGAAAAAAACAATACTAAAAAGAAAAAAATCTACTAATAATACTTGAATTACCCAAATTTTAAGTTTGTCTTTGTTCACAGTTTGACAGCTGTCAAAAATATCGTTATTTTATTTAAATCTCTAAGCTGACTTAAAAGCGTTATTTATCTTTTACCTTTCAAGTACATGCCGACTAAATTATTAAGTTTTACATATAATAAAATTGAAGTGTCTGTAATATCAAAAGAAAATACCAGATTTCGGGAAGATGTATTTGCGTTGGTGATAACGAAAATCGTATTTAAAAAAATGTTTGTCTGTCTGTCTGTCCGCAAGCCGCGTTTCTCCGAAACGGCTGGGATTTCGACCGTACTTTCACTGGAGGGTAGCTGACATAGACTGACTATAGGCTACTTTTTTTTAACTCCGTGCTGTCAAAATGACTCAACAAGTGGTCCAAATTTGCTTTTACATAAGCGTCGTATGCGATAATTTGTTACAAATATGCGTAAAAACTTCCGGGACTTTATTCACCGGATTACCCAAAACTACCGAACTACCAACCGGCAAAACATTCTCAACAACAATCGGATTATCATCACTATCAAATATAATCTCTGGATCATTCTCTATGATCTCCTCTATGGTCTCCCAATTCGTTAACTTCCTCTTAGGTTGGCAACACTGACACATACCATAGTCACATTCCTTTTTATTCATAAAATATTCCATATCATCTAAAATTGTCTTTTCCTCATTCTCAACTGGTACGAAAACAGAAAACTTCCTTGCGGAATATTTAATTAACTCGTCTATAGAATCATCGATACCTTCGTCTATGGTTGGATTATCATAGTCTATGGTTTCGATTAGGGATTGTTTACGGGATTGTGTGGGTGAGGGTAGTTCGTTATTTGTTATACTATGTTTTCTTTTAGTCTGACCTGTCATTACGATGGATTTCTTTGTTGTAGCCCAGCCGAGGGAGCGCTGCACCGCCATCTTCCATTTTGTATATCTTGCATCTCGGTCTAAAAAATAAAAAAAGAAAATAAATACATGCATATTCCCTATTTATGCGACTAGATAGGTATTTAATAAACGTTATTCCATAGTAATAAATATTATCTTTGGAATCATTTTTATTACTAGTGGCCCTATATTTCCTTGACTATAGACCGTTTTACTATTTTCGCCATATTGGTTCTGACGTTTGTCATTTGCAGAGAATATTCTGGAAGAACACATAGACTTCTCGTATCTGTCTGGAGTCGCGAATGAAATATAGTAATTAAGCATAATCAACATCAACAGACGCATTTAAATTGAAACGTCCATTACATCTATCCATTTACATACAGGGTGATTTTTAACAGACGGATCAATCGAGTTAGAGGACCTCAATAGCTATTTAAACGCAAAGTACGTTGCCCGATTTTCTATAGTTTTAAAGTAATTTCATTTTTGCTAAAAAAAAGATAAAACTACAGAAAATCGGGCAACATACTTTGCGTTTAAACGATATATTGAGGTCCTCAAACTCCACGGAGCAGTTGATCCGTCGGAAGAATCATCCTGTATATCAGTGGTATCGAGTCATTTTGCTGTAGTGAGTTTTTTGTGGTTTTTTTTTATAACATAAGGTGGCAGACGAGCAAGCGGCCACCTGAATCTGCCAAAATGGCGAAGCGACCGCTGCCCATAGACATCCGCAATTGCAGATGCGTTGCCTACACTTATCCGCCAGAGGAGGAGACGCACATAAAAAGGATATCTCCCCTTCCTATGTATTTCCTCCTCCGTTAAATCCACTTCCCCTTTCCATCCTCTCCTTATGAGAAAAGGGTGGTAAAGAGAAAGGCACTTAAATTAGGCCTCCGGCACCACACTCATCAGACGAAACACGGAATTGCTTCCATTTCACGCCTGTCTTCTGTGTGGTCGTGGTACTACACCGGGCGTGCCCTGCACTGCTAACATGTTAAAGCGGGCACTACCACTGTTAAATGTAGTGTTTTCTTGTATACCGACCGTCGTCGGTGGTGGTGGGCAGGAAGGTGTCGTGGTGCGCCTGCCGCCACTGGTCCAGCGGCCAGAGAGCGCGCGCGCGCCCCGCGCACACCGCCGCGCCCAGCGCAGACATGTCCCACGAGTGCGCGCGCACTGCACACCAATTACTCATTAAACACAAATATATACATATAATAAAATTGGAGTGTCAGTAATATCAATGGAAAAATTCCAGATAATGTATTTGCGTATATTTAATTTTTTTTTTTTATATCTGTGTAACATAGTACCTTTCAAAGAAGTTACCGGTGAAAAAATGAGTTATTGTTATTATTATTATACTCCATATATCTTTAATTACTTATTTTTACATATAATATATTTTACATGATTTTTATATAAAAAAACAATAAAATAAAACATATTATATAAAAAAATAGAAGTCCACCGGCTGCGGAATCCGTTGACTCAAGTAACCAGTGGTCAGGGCAGAGACAGGAACCTCCTCACTATTCGTGCGGTTTTTAAAATAACCGCCTTTTGTATCGGGCCCTTAATCCAACTGTCTAGCGAGAGCTTCTTGAGGTGTTCGAAGCTTTATTATTATTAGGGGCCGTGCCCATATTACGTCATTCTAAATTAGGGGGGTCTGCGGATAACGGTAAATGATAGATAGGGGGGGGGTGTTTCTTGACGTCATTCTTATTTATTTATAGTTTATTATTCACGTACAAAAAGATTATTTCTAAAAAGAAATTTCTTCCAGCACACATAGTAAGTGAGACTGCAAATGTGAGGCGGCTACGCGCGTACAATACTAAAATAACTCATAATAAACATACAAGTAAAAATAATAAAGGTTTAACCAAGTGTTTTAATCATATAATACCCTATTTTTCTCAAATCTGCAATGTTTTAATTTCGTCAAACTGGTAATGACGTCAATTTTGTCAGAAGGGGGGGGGGTCATTAATAAATGATGATAGGATGATTGTA